GGGATACGTTTTATTCTTTTTTCTCTGTAATTTAAAAATAAGTAAGAATGCTTACACGCACACACACACACACACACACACAATTACATTAAGTAGCTATATAGGTAGGTTAGATAGGCATAATTTTAATTGTAGGTAGGATAGATAGGAAGCATCCAACACTAATGTAGTTGAATAGGTAGGCGCGTAAGTTTATCTCTTCTATTTTTTCTTGCACAAACATTACACGCATCAGCGTATTACACACACACACACACACACACACAAATACATACATAAATACATATGTTAGTATTTAAGCGTAATTTTATTTTCAATACACATTCTAATTTATTATTACTAAGGTTGAGAGTAATTTAATTTCATAGGTAGTTAAGGGCAATAATGTAATTCTAGGAACAATCTTGTAATGTAAATTAAAACGCTGTATGTGTATCGATAGGTAGGTTAATTATAAGTTTTATATTATTATTATTATGTTGGAACCCAAGGCATTACGTAGGTGGTGGGGTGGGTGCCGAATGGCCAATGAATTGGGCTCTTGAGTTTTTTTAATTTTAGGTAAGTTAAGGCCATAATGTAATGAATAGGTAAGTTAAGGCTACGTTGTAACACATACTCATTAATAGATTTAGGGTTTAAGTTTTATATTAATATTACTAAGTTGGAGCCCAAGGCATAACGTAGGTGGTGGGGTGGGTGCCGAAAGGCCAATGAATTGGGCTCTTGAGTTTTGTAATTTTAGGTAAGCTAGGGCTTAATTGTAATGAATAGGTAAACTGAGGGTACGATAGCCGATAGACTCTGAATTTCAAAGTCTCTTGTCAGAGGTAAGCCTTGGTGGCCAGTGGTGAACCGGCAATGGTTTACTATCCGGACGGCAATGGTTTACTATCTGCACGGTAATGATTTACTATGCGGCATGGCCATAGTCTACTACCCGCACGGCTTCCGGTCGGCAAATGGTTTACTATACGCACAGCAATAGTCTACTATCCGCACGGCAATGGTTTACTATCCGGTGCCCTGGCTGTCGGTGAACCTCTGTGCAAAGGAGGGAGAATGAAGGGGGACTTTCGACTATCGTACCATTAACAATTTAATATAGATTCGTTAAGGTAAATGAATAGGTAGATAGGATTATTTTTATTAAGCAATTTGAGATGCAGGCACCGCAGAGCTTTCTGATGAGAATTTTCTCTTTCTCCATTCCACGGGCTGTGTTTCAACAACAATCTCGAGGAGGACTGGCACCAGTTTTGGAGGACAACGTAGGAACCGGAAAGCATTCAACATTTTGCCTTCGTCGAATGGACGACGGTAAGTTTTTTTTTTACATTTTAGTCTTTTTATTATTTTTAGGTATTATTTATTTGCCATTATTTCCATTTTAAAATTTTTTGCTTTTAAGATTCTAACATTCATTTACTACTACGCTAATAAAAAAATTGTCTACAGAATGATGAGAGGTGGGCAGTGGTGGGAGTCAGCACGTTTCAGATGGTGGTGTCATGATGATTTACGTATGATGGTGTGGTGTAGGAAGAATCAGCGCGTTGGCTGTTCGACTGACACTCAGAAGTTCGGATGAAATCTTGTGTGCCGATCTGAATGTGGTGGTCGGTGCGGTCGGTGCAATGGATTGAAATAACGACGATTTTTGAAGTAAGGTTTAGTTTCGTTTTTTTTATTTTTCTCATTCATTTTTTTCCTCAATCTTTCGAATTATTCTTCCATTAATTGACGTTAATTCGTTCTATTCATTCATTCATTCATTCATTCATTCATTCATTCATTCATTCATTCATTCATTCATTCATTCATTCATTCATTCATTCATTCATTCATTCTTTTAACTAATTATTTAATCATTCAGTTCATCATTTATTCGTTCGTTCCTTTGTTCCTTGATTTACTACTAAGCTAATAAAAATAACTTTTTACAGAATGATGAGAGGTGGGCTGTGGTGGGCGTCAGCACGTTTCACATGATGGTCTCATGATGATCGTTCCGATGACAATTTGAAGAAAACAACAACGACGATTTTTGAAGTATGGCTTAGTTTTTTTTTTAAATTTTCTCATTCATTTTATCACTATCTTTCAAATTATTCCTCCACTAATTGATTCATTCTATTTATTCGTTAAATCATTCAATTCATCATTTATTCGTTCGTTCCTTTCTTCCTTGATTTACTACTAAGCTAATAAAAATATCTTTACAGAATGATGAGAGGTGGGCTGTGGTGGGCGTCAGCATGTTTCAGATGGTGGTCTCATGATGATCGTTCCGATGACAATTTGAAGATAATATTAAAAAAAATTTGTTCTTGTCCCATTGTTCTTGTTCCATCGTACCATTGAAAGTACTCGAATTTGTCATCTCAATCAATCAATCAATCAATTAGCTTATAAAGCGCCATTTCCGCGATGTTCAACAGCGCTCCTCGATGAATTTTGAAAACAGATGGGTCTTGAGATCCGCTCTGAACTTCGCAAGTGATGGAGAAGTAGTCAGAGAAGTAGGTAGATAAGTTGCTTTTTTTCCAATGGCTTGTTTTTTACTTTAAAGATTTATTTTTTTTTTTAATTTAGTGTTTTTCAGTATACGGTCAAATTCATTCCATCGATGCGTGTCAGATGATGGTCGGTGCAATGGAGGTTCGTCCGTAGTGAGTGAAGAAGTTTTTGGAGAGTACACGCCCGCACATTTACACACACACACATCAATAAAACACACACATACACAACATCCATTCATTCGGTGTCGTTGTTGTTATGTTTTTCTTCAACTTTCTATTTTCTTTACCAGACTTAATTAAATTCGTAGGTAAGTTAGGGATTGAGATGAGTTGAACAATCGCAGTTAGGCTAGGGCTTAACATTAGTTAAAAAGTTTCAAGTAAAATAAAATACCTAAAACATGTAAAATTCCGAAAACGTAGAAAAACATATTTGTAGGTAGGTGAGTTGAGTTAATGATTATAAGTAAGCTAGGGCCCTGAGAATAATTTAATAGTAGGTAGGTGACTGACTACTATTCTTGCGACTTTTTATTAGTTTTTTGTGATGTGTTTTCGCTTCACAGCCCCACACCAACAAAACAAACTACATTTTATTCTCGTCGTCGTCTTAAATTTTACCTTTTTGAACAATCTTTTTAATAATGTCTATTTATTTATTTAATTATTTATTAAATGTTGATTGGTTTCTAGTTTTTTTAATTTGGTTATATAATTTTTGGATATTTCTTGATTTAATAAAAGCAACTATTGTGTTTTTCTTTCTTTACTAAAATCTCAAAATTGTTTGTAGATTTGTACAGTTAAGTGTTTGTTCGAGTTTGAACAAGCCTGCAAATATTTTTCAAATATGGTTCATTGATTGGTTGGTTGATTAGTTGATTGAATGAATGGTTGGTTGATTGATTGGTTGATTGATTGATTGATCTCATAGTATTTTATATATGAAAAAAAAATCCGATTAAGCCAACATACGGCTTTACTTGGCCACTGTATTTTACCAGACAAAAGCAATTTCTTTATTTATATTGACAAAAATAATTGTGAAATGAATATATTGACTTATTTAAAGCAATATATGTAAAGAAAATTGCCGTGGCACTGTTGTATGAGACCCAGTAAGCCACTGCAGTAAGCCAACGTATGATTTCAGCAACCATAATTTCTATGAGCACCAGCAGAATGTAAAATATGCATTGAATATAATGAAGATAGTTGTTCAAATAACAATTTTGATTTATTTAGGTCGTTTATTTCATGAGCAAACAAATTTTTAACATGATCGAATAGTGTAAAAAAGGGTGACTTTAGTTCAATCCTACTAAGCCAACCTTTGGCTTCAGTAAAAACCCACCGGATTTCACAGGACCAAAAGTATAATTTTTATATTCAAATTAACAACAATAATTTAATAATACATAATTTTATTTAATAAAATCATAATTTTATTTAATAAATTACTACAATGTTTTAAGCATATTAAGTCAAGTAAATATTTCATATAGCTTGCTCGTTAAAATCCATGCAATTTCGAAAGCCAATAATCCAAGCACGACAAATTGTTCTAATTATATGAAATTATCCACATAATTAAATAACTAGCAAAAATCATTAAATAGTAGTTATTTTAAAAAATATATTCTTTATTCCCAGGCCTAAGTATTGTACGTAAAAATTTTACAAGCAATAGGATTTAGGATTTTAGGAACAAGTGCTGTTAGTGTAGTAGTTGTACTATGTAGTAGTGCAGTTGTTGGTAGTCTCTAGTAGTCTAATCTGTTAATGTTCGTTAGTGTTATTTGTTATTTATTTTAATTAGTAATTAGAATTAGTAGTTTAGTTTTAGCTTAATTATTAGAGTTTAGTAATTTAATTAC